TTTTCTTCATTACCCATTTAAGCCGTCTCCAGCCATTACTAGTCTCAAAGTGGGTTCCTCGTCATCGAATAAGGACAGAGAGTTGATTCAGCATTTTGATGATTAAAAAAAATTAAAAAAATTTTTTTTTGCTCACTTTGTAATGGAATGTTGTTGTGTACAAAATAATAACTAATTTTATACCAACAATAATCTTAGATAATTAAAGGAAGTACAATGTTATAGAAAACGCATAGCTTGTTTATTGTTGGATATAGAGAGTATATTTATGGTTACTACAAGAAATGAACCATAAATATGATATTCTGCATATCCAACAATAATCTTATTCTTCACTATCTCTAACAAGTGAAGTGACACATGCTGTTAATGGTATTCCTTAATACATCAATAAAATGCACATAAGGTCCTATAATCTTTATCACCTAGATATAGTTGTGTCCAAATAATATTGTAAGCTCAACCTCTAAGTACTAAGAATACTTATGTAAATCTAAACTTAATATAAATAATCACTAGTAACTTATGTTTTTATTTTTTTTATTTATAAATAATGCCAAGATGAAATGATTATTTTCATCAACAAAAATACTGTGTGAAAAACTGTATGAAGAAACCCAAGAAAGGTTCTAAACATATTTTCAGTACTTCTGTGTATATATAATACATTTCCATGTACAACAGTTCAAGATTAAAAAAATAACAATTGCAAATTGCTGTATCTGAAGAAGAAAAAAGAAGCTTAAAATAGGAAGATTAGCCTCATGTACTAATTAATGAGGATGATGATTGATCCATTAGCAAATTCTCCAATACTTGCCCAGATGTATATGTAACAAAATTATAAATGTTGTAGATTGCATATCTTTTTCTCCTAACACCTTAGTACATTAAAAGTTGTTCTTGATATCAAAGTGTAGAAAGTGATGAACTGTTACACATTTAGCTAATTTTCCATAATCATGAACTAATTTTATCTATTAAGTAAAATCTTACCAATGTCACATTTGTATGATGAAGTCTTAACTTTTTAAAACATAACATGTATCAATAGTGTATAATTGTTTTTCATAAATGAGATACAGGAGAATAATATTGTCCTAGTAATTCTAACATAGACATAGCTCATTTGGAATGTTTTAAGCACTTAATAGCTGTAATGTTGTGGTTCTGTAAATGATTTAAATGGATGTTGTTTTTCAAAAGTAAACCATCAGCTGGAGCAACTTCAGAGAATAATAGAAATGGTCTTGGTATAACAATTCAACTTCATGAATGAACAAGAATATGCTTTAAGGCTTAACATTATGATTTTTATTCAACATATCAATTAAAAAGACAACTGTACCTTGAAAGAGGAGAATTTCAGATATAATCTGTTTACATTTTATGACTAAGAAATAATTATAGAGCTGAAATATTACAGTATACCAGGTTCTAATCAAACAGGGGTAATTCATATAAAAGCTACAATGCATAAGGCCAAACTTGTCAACTGTACATTAATTAGTACAATTTTAACAAGTCTGTACTCTCATACAAAAACAGCTTAACAAAGAACATTCACCTTTTTGAGCCAGAGTAAAGAAGGTTAGCATTTATTTACAGGTTGGAGTGTCATGAACTGCCAAATTCAGAGCTGAAACTCTGAGAGGAGGGAGGGGGGGGGGGAAATCAATGATAAGAACTGAATAATGTCTCATTACTTCTGGGAAGTTCCAATGTGATGACGTTGAAATAATTCTTCTTAACAAAACTGAAAAAGAAAAGGTAAAATTACACATTTCACAATAAAACACACACACACACACACACATATATATATTTATATATATATATATATATACCCTTTCCTATCTGGAGTCTCAGGTTATTACAGAAGTAAAATGACAACATCAAATTTTCAAAAATTGTATGCGACCTATCCCCTCAAATTACCTAAAAATAAAATCTTAATGTTGAGAACCTTTTGGTGCAAGTTTTATTAACATTTGTTTTAGATGAAGAGGTAAAAAAACAAAATGAAATTGCTAGCCCTAATTTTTGACTCTAAGAATGATTAAAACAATTTAACTCTTTCAACTTGGGCTCAGTAACTGACCTTGTAACCATTTTGTGCTTATTATAGTTTTCATACTATAACT